GGTGCTAATCTGCTAAATAGTAAATTTGGGCCCTGCACTTCATATCTGAAAGTCAAATAGAAGCGTCAAATACTGTGTTTACAGCGCACTTTCACAAATTCCCATTTTTTTGCTCCTAAGAAGTACATTTGAGGTGTACTCTACATATCTGAGAGTCAAAGACAAGTGTCAAATACTGCGGTTACAGCGCAGTTGTAAAAATTCTAATTGTTTTGGTGCAAAACTGCTAAATAGTAAATTTGGGGTGTGCTCTTCATATCTGAGAGTCAAATAGACGCGTCAAATACTGGGGTTACAGCACAATTGTAAAAATTCTAATTGTTTTGGTGCTAAATAGTACATTTGCGGCCTGCGGTGCACTTCATATCTGAGAGTCAAATAGAACCGTTAAATAGTGCTGTGACATAGCAGTTTTAAACATTCAAATTTTTTGGCTGCTAAAAAGTACATTTGCGGCCTGCGGTGCATTTCTTGCAGTCCAATAAACAAAAAAAAAAATTGTTGACACTTGGCGGTTACATTGTCGCCTGACATAAACCATCTGTTAGTTTGGTGGATGAACGCAAAGAATGAGGAGGGCATCAAATAAGGGACATGGCCCTGGTCGTGGTGCTGCTGGTGTTGGTGGAGCTCCTGTTGCAAGGAGAGGACATGGTCGATCTGTGCCAGCTACACGCACAAGTGAAACACCTTCCTCAGGTTCGAGTATGTGACAGAACCTTCAGCGTTATATGGTAGGCCCGAATGCTGCTCTACGAATGGTGAGGCCAGAACAAGTACAGGCTATAGTAGATTGGATGGCTGACAGTGCCTCCAGTTCCTGCACATTGTCTCCCACCCGGTCCCCTGCTGAAATCTCAAAGTTGGCACCTGCAGCCCATGGCCATCTGTCTTTCACCTCACCCCCTTGCAAATCAGCCAAGCAGTCTGACCCACAAGTCATGAAGCAGAGGCTTGTGAAGGCCTTTTCTCCATGCATCAGGAGTTGAGCTCAGTTTGAACAATGAAAGAGAATACCCTGCACTCCAACCCTCTCTCAAATGGATAATTATATTGATCCTCCTGACAGCCATGCTTTAGATTTTGATTTATGTTCTTCCAAAGCTAAACTTAAAGATTCCATCTAGTGCTATTTTATGGCTCAGCTGTATTTTAAATTTTTAGGTATTTTATGTTATTTTAAGTGATTTCCCTATCCACATTTGTTTGCAGGGCACTTGTCCTACTCTTACCCCCATTTTACTTCCTTTTGCAGCCCTCTAACCCTTTCCAGGACTTTTTTAGAGGCATTTTTGTGCCCAAAAGTTCGGGTCCCCATTGACTTCAATGGGGATCGGGTTCGGGGTCAAATTCAGGGTCAAGTTCGATCCCGAACCCGGACTTTTTTTCAAAGTTCGTCCGAACCCGCAGAACCCGAACATCCAGGTGTCCATTCAACTCTATTAAACATCTCAACACCTACAATATACATTAGTGTGAAAATCCACTTAATGATGCTTCCATAGAGAGAATGATTTTCCAATTACACAAATTTTACTTTTGCATATTGTTTATATAACATGATTATTTAAGATTGATGCCACAGCAATGGTTGGACAATATGTAATCAGAGACACTGTTGCAAAACTGTCTGTCGCTGGAATCCAGACGCACCCTTCATCTTTCCAGCCTTGTGTTTAAGAGCTTTTCTGGGAAACTCCCACCCTACCTGAACAAAATGCTTTCCCCAGCTGTTCCCACTTCCTATAAGCTCCGATCCAGTACCAACACTTTACTTAGTCTACCTCAATACAAAAAGAAAGCGGCCCAATCCTCCTTCTCCTACAGAGCGCCGCAATTGTGGAACGACCTCCCGCACAATTTAAAATCTTCCCTGAGCCTAAAGTCCTTTAAGAGATCCCTCTCTACATACCTCAAAACAGAATGCACCTGTCATGGTTGATTATATATTTCCTACCTGTTCTTTGTTAAATTTTGTATATATTGTGTATTAATATTGTTTTTGTATTTTATTGTACCCTAATGTAACAATGCAATGATTTGTGGACCCAGGACATACTTGAAAATGAGAGAAATCTCAATGTATCTTTCCTGGTAAAATATTTTATAAATAAATAAAATAAATAAATAAAAGAAAGACAAGGCTTGCCTTTGAGCCTAAAATCCAATATAAGTAACAATTTTATAAAAAGTAGAAAATGAGATGACCCATGAGCTTACAATCTAAAGGAAACAATTGGAAGTGATACAAAACGCAGCAGAGTTTACTTTAAATCTGCAATATGTTAAAGGTAGAATACACCTGACAAGGACACATATACACACACAAACCTGTTGGGTTCTTCCACGCAGTAAGATTTATAATTCACAACCTTTCTCACCATGGCAATATAAATTATAACAAACTTATTTATCTAACTTTAACTATGTTTTAATGAAAGTCTATAAGGAAGTATACATTTGCTCTAGGGAAATTGGAATGTGAGCGTTCTTTTTATTTAAAATTTGCACATAAAATGAGGATTGTAAAATGTAGGCCAGCTATCCTTTTATTATCAGATGTGTAAAATAAGATCTAGTAATCTAGTATTCGCCCCTTCGCTCCTGATTTTTCCATATCTTGATAACAAGTGTTGTATGATTGACTAAAATACACACACAAAAAAAGAAATTTTCCTAAGCATGAAGGGTGCTTATTGTGACTGTCTCTGTATCTTGCACTCCATGTGGGTTATTTCCCATCTTCCATAACTAGAATTCAGATCAAGATACGTGAGCGAAAAATGCAGAGAGAATAATAAACCACTTGCTACAACCACTCTGCTCTAAAACCAAAGCCGTTATAAAACCCAAACAATAAAAGTTAACGTTTTGAGTTTTATATATTTTTATGTGAGTTGAACTTTAAATATTATTTGTAAGAACAGTAGGATGGAGAATTTTGGATTGTTGCTGTTAATTTGTTACTACATATTTTTTGACCTTGTACCCTTTTGCGATCATCTTACTAGCATGAACTGAGTGCAAATCTTTAGTACAATTCCGTGAAGTCAGGAACAGTTATTCTCCAATTTGGAAGAGCGTGCTAGAAAATATAATACAATTATAGGGTATATAGGTGGTGCAGGCAGCCAGTGGTACCACTACAAATATAGAGATGTCGCGAACCGTTCGTGAACTTCCCGCGAACGGTTCGCCACGAACAATGAAAGCATGAAAGAAGACCCTAATTGGTGCCTAGAACGATATCAATCACACATTGCTGTTGAGGCCAAAGATGACAAACAATTAAAGATGACTTAATTGTTCTTGCTGTATCCCTTTGGTGGAGGAGCTTTTTCAGTTTTGGATTGTGAGATAAAATCTGTATTATATCTCAGTGGGAACTAATTATTGGGCAAGTTATTGGGATTTTTATGTTCTAATCGTTCACTTAAGATTCTGTTTTGGATTTTTTACTTGTTGAGTGCCAAAAACTCTTACTAAGTGTCCACCTCTACCCCAGAAGACATTAATAAATGGCTTATCATAGCAGCATTATCTTCCCAAGTACAGAGACCCCACTGACTCTGTGACGAGTCTAATAAAGGTGAGGCACTACCCCTTTCCTCTTGTAAATGTATCCAGCTCTGTATGTATATTCACAAAAAGACATGGGTTGGACAATACAAAGAAGAAAATGAGATGACCCATGAGCTTACAATCTAAAGGAAATAATTGGAAGTTATACAAAATGTAGCAGAGTTTACTTTAAACCTGCAATATGTTAAAGGTAGAAAACACCTGACAAGGACACGGGTACAGGCACATACCGGTTGGGTTATTCTATGCAGTGATATTTATAATTCACAACCTTTCTCACCATGGCAATATAAATTATAACAAACTTCTTTATCTAACTTTAACTATGTTTTAATGAAAGTCTATAAGGAAGTATACATTTGCTCTAGGGAAATTGTAACATAAGCTTTCTTTTTATTTAAAATTTGCACATAAAATGAAAATAAGTAGTACTGCATTTATTATAGCATTTTATTTAAGGCATTACGGCTTCGATTTAATATTGTTGGATAAGCTTTTGAAATGATCTAATATTGTGAAAAATATCTTAATGTTCTAATATTTTGATATTGTTGATACATTGATATATATATATTTTTATATAAAATATATTTCTGATATCTAAATATGTTGATAAAATCATTTTAAATGTTTAGCCAAAAATATACGATATTATATGAAAATCTTATCCAAAAATTCTAAATCGAGGCTGATTTTTTTTGAAGAATTGCCTAATAATGTTTATCTAAAAAAAGTAACATGATATAAATGAAATTTCATTTTTTAAATTATGAATAAGATAATATAAAACAATCACCAAATAAAAAAACAGTACCATCTTCATTTCCTTGTTGATCAGGAAAGTTCAAATATAATCAAAAGTAAATGAGTAATTATATAGTCCTTTTGTCCTTTAGTCGGCCATGCCTCTTATCTTTATTTCCTAAACTAAAGTTTAAGGACTGCACGTACTTGGTGATGCTAGGTATAAAAGCCTGGGGTTTATTTGAGACTTGTATAATCTCAGGAGAGATACTATGATAATGGCATACGGAGAAGTGTTAATATTGTGCCTTTCTCTATTTTCAGCAACATTTGGCTCCCACTTTGAGGGCGGTGTCATGACTTTCAGGCCCAGGGGGAAAAACGCTGATGGAACATTTAAAGTAAGTCAAGTGGTTGGGTACCAAAACTACAATACATATTTATAATACATAAAGTTATCAAAACCAGAAAATATTGAGATTTCAGAAAACACGGCCATAAAGAATAAATTATTTTCTAGTGCTTGTTGTATTGTGGAGTTGTTAGAGCAGTTCTAAAGCCAGTTATTCTTTTTCCATAATTGTTGGAATTCCTGGAAAGTTATTTAGATTTAAATGATGACAGTTATTTCTTTCAGCTGGACATAAGGTTCAAATCTGGATTTGATGATAGCTATGAAAGAGAACTTTACTGGTATTGCACAGCCGGCAATTGTGGATATAGTTCTTCTAGAAGCTATGGAGATGTGGACAGAAGCAGTTATGCAACACGATGGTCCCAAACAGAAAGTTATCATGTGATGCACTTATCCAGTGATAAACCTTTTCATCTCAGGTAAACTAGACACTAACCAAAAATAACTTACTTAGTTTTCTAAAACATTTTATCATAGAAGTTAGAGAATTCTAATGTTTTTAAAGTTAAAGCTTAACTTTTTAAAGGAAATCTATTTGTTTATTTTTATTTATTTATTTAATTTCATTAAAGTGTATACAGATGATATCATAGAACATAATTTTAAATAGATTTAAATAATATTATGCTCAGTAAAATATTGATTATTTTTTTATATATTTTATTTTTATTATTTTTATATTTGTTATTATTTATTATACTTCATAATATATGCTATTATTATTTCAATAACAAAAATACTTAGGAAATAAAAATAATGAAAAAATATAACAAATAAATAACATCAAATAAAATAGTAAATGAAAATGAAATGTGTGTGCTTCTTCATAATGTTTAGAAATGGGGGTATGTTTTTTTGTATTAATGATAAAATTTTCTTTATTGATATATGTTGCAAGATATATTCTCTTCAATTGTATAAATTTACTGACACATTGTATCACTTACAATGTAGAATCATGTTGTGTTTTCTGTAAATTTAGTTTGATTGCACATGTGTCTGTGTGTCTAGCAATTATAATTTTAAGGTGTTAACACTTTACCAATTTAATAATTGCAGATACTTTGTATCCATGTAGATACAAAAAAAATGTAAATAAAAATAAAAATTGATCTATAAAAAATAAAAAAATAAAAACATTTTAACACAACCACTAGCTAACTTTAGCTATAGATATAGACAGACAGATGGACGGACGCACAAGCAGACAGACACTCAGATGGACTAATAGATGGGTGGATGGATGGATGGATAAATGGACAGTCAGCAAATTTATTCTTTAGATTTTTTTAATATGTAACAAACATATTGTGTGTTTTGTTTCCAGTGCTGACAGTTGTTGCTGGATCTATAATATCTTTAACCATAATGGATGGCGTCTCCAAACTGTTGTGGATTTGGGAACCCGATCTGACACGTCCAAACCTAACAACTCACCGGTGACCGCAATAATACCCATCATTAGGTACTACATCTTTGAGTGCAGTTCGATTGACAAATAGGAGCATGGCGATACATCTTTCATACTGGTGAAAGAAATGACTGTCTATCACTGGTAAAGTTATAAAGTAACAAAGTATGTATGCTGATGGACCCAAAGTAACTCATAGATGGGTTTTATTTTTTAGATATCTGGCATGACAAAACAAGTGTCGCTAGACTGACCATAGAAGGAATGCTCATACAGATTTCGAATTGCCTGAGTTGAATAATCACTGTAATATTTCATACTTAGTGCAGAACTCGTGTTAGGGATTTATTTTGGGTTGGGAATTAGGTAGAATCCTAGAGCTATGAAAAATTCCCATGTCAGACGGCTAAAACCCATAGATAATTTGTAGCCAAATATGAGTTGGCAGTGTTCCCACTCCTGAACAGATGCACCTTAGCTGCCTTCTGTATGTAAGATGTCTGAAATCAAGCTCAGCCGACCTGATCAAACAACGTGACTAGCTACTAACTATTACAAAAGTAGAAATACTACACCAAATACGGAACAATGTAGAATAGTAAAGAAGTTCTACGTCCGGAACATTCTAAAAAACAGAAATTAAATACATAGTGCAAACCGTAAAAAAAAAAATAGACACCAGGTCCCTACGATAGGATAAAACTCACACGACCCAAAATACCAATACTAGGTGGCAGGACAGATGGCGCATAAGCCTCAACCCCAAAAAGTCACCACATCCCCACAACAACTGCAACGCAATTTCTAGCCTGGCATTCACCAATACCAACAAAGGCAACCCGATATAACCCACCAGACAACTATTTAAAAATGTGCATTTTAGGTTATAACCAAACGTATGGACATACGTGAAGTGCTGACTTAACCCTATGCTGTTGTGGCATTATCAGAAATGTCTGTACCACTGTTATTGCACCGAAAATAAAGATTTAAAAAAAAACCCTCACACGATATAGAGCCATACCAGGCTCTATATAAAGGGCTCCAAGGTGTCTATACCGGCTAGGATGATATTCTAGAAGGAGAGCAGCAGGAAACAGTCAGTTAAAATATAACAAATTTATTAGGGTACAAAATAAAATTAAGTAAAAACGGACAAAATTGGCAGTGGTATATAAACAAAGGCATCTAGGCTAAAATCATCACAGCATAACAAATGTATAAAAAGTCCCAAAAAGGAAACAGCAGATGCGTTTCAACTCCAGCTAGAGTCTTCCTCTGTGCTGTGTTGCTCTCTCCAATGTCCGAATAAATAGTTACTGTTGTGATCAGTGTTCAATTCAACACGGCTGTACTACTTCCTATTTCCGGCGCGATGGGCATGTGTCATAATGCCGTGCCTGTCATGTGACACGAGCACGGCTGTAGCCACATCACTTACGGATTTTCATTTCGGCATTTAAGGGCAAAGTTGACACAAAGTCTCCTATCAAATGAGGGCAAGAAAAGTCCTCGAAATGTAAATAAAAAAACATAAATTGCATCCAATTCAGATATAAGAGACAGACTCATTATATATAACAGAAATAAAAAATTAAAAAGACCAATTGAATAGAAACACGAGTCTGACAGTAATAACGAGGAGGTGGAGGATAAAAATAAAGGAACAGTGCATCAAAAACGCACTAAAAGTTTGTAAAAAAAAATAGATAACTAAAATGATAGATATATAAAAAACTCTACAAAAAGTGAATAAATTTAAAATCTAAATTAAGCCTTTTAGGTGCTAAAGAATCTAGCATAAATATCCATTTACTTTCGATTTTGCACAATTCCTTAAAGTTATCCTCACCAGTTAAAGGTTTTTAAAAAATAACCATAAAACTTAGATAAGAAGGGTCCTTATTATGACACTCTAAAAAATGGGCAGACACACTATGCGTGGTGTATCCCCTCTGTATGTTACCCATGTGTTCTGCAATACGGGTCTTAAGATTCCTGGTAGTCATCCCTACGTATTGCAGCCCACACGGGCACCAGAGGAGATACACCACATTGGAAGAATGACAAGTTAAAATGTCTTTAGTAAAAAAACACTTTCTCCCGTTGCCTTAGATTTAAAGGATGTTCTGGTTTCTTTAGGAAAACTAGATTTTTTGCAAATGGAGCATATTTTACAAGGATAAAAGCCGTTTTTTTTTTTTTTTGTTTTTTTTTTTATTAAAAGAGAACATAGTTTTAGCTGGTTTATTAAAACTCCTGACCAAGTCCCCTTTAATACTCTTTGCACCCCGATAGATAACATTGGGTTGGTTACCAATAATGCCAATGAGGTCTTGATCGTGTTTTAAGAGGTGCAAGAATTTATTTAAAATGTGTTTTAATCTGTCTCGATTGACTATTATAGTCTAAAATAATAGGGATACCTCTTAGGACAAATTTATTTTTGTTCTTATTCTTCAAGTCATTCTTCTTATTACTTTTATATTCCAAAATTTGATTCCTACCTAAATTACTGACCTCCTGTAATTGCTTTTCTAAAAATGTGTAATCATAGTTTTTAGCTGAAAACTGGTCATTTAATTAGCTGGTAAGACAAATTCATCCATATTACTGCAATTTCTTAAAATTCTTAAAAATTGGGCCTTATGCATGTTATGTACCAAGCTGCATAGTGACAGCTGTTAATATCTATAAAACTATTTACATCCACTCTGTCTCTCTTCACTCTTGGGCGCTGAGTAAGCTGGGAGGAAGTGAGAGGCCATCACTTCCTCCCAGCATTAGTTGCGGCTGACATTTTGAAAGGGGCTTTTACACAACCACAGCGCTGACCGGGTCCCTGAAGATATAGGCCCTAAGTGCATGGGACACCTGATGGGCCCCATCAGCGTGTGGGCCCTGGTGCAGCTGCATCGGCGGAAGTTCCGCTGATATACATGGGACCCGGGTTGCCACCCACTGATGATGACCCTGCTCCAAATAATCCTGTTTGCCTCACACACAACTCACATGTACAACGTCCCAACACATGCAGCTCCAAACACACACACGACAGACACAGCCTGCAGATTCACACATTGCCAGAATGTGGTAGAATATTAGCTGATGCTATCAGCCATTGAATCCTTTTTAAAGTTGTGCACACTTAATATAGCTAAAACAGAACACGAATTGCTTCTTTGGCTACATCGAGAAGACTGTAGGATCTGCGGGAACCCAGGGGGACGTAGCTAACTGTCAGTCTAGTCATAATCAGTTTGAACTCTTATTGGTGCACACACTACGGAATACACTGAATAAAATGATATAGTAGATAGTGATTCATTTCGAAAATATTTCATGTTTTTATATTTAAGGGTTCCTCAAAACTGCCCGATCTCCGTTAATTTATTGGCCCATGATCCCGATGGAGACAATGTACAATGTAGATATGGCATAATAAACACGGGAGAATGTGCAACTTGTTACCACCATCCACATTTCAACTTGGATCAAGTAAGTGTGTGACTGTATTGCTTTTTTTTAATCCCTACATCAGCAGGCAGAGGGGACCTAATGCGCAAGCGCAGCAAGTCTCGCTCTCTGATTAGGACAACCTCGTAGAAAAGCATTGCTCAATGCTTTCCTATAGGGTTTTAGATGACGCTGGATGTCCTAATGCAAAGCGTGAGAACGTTCAGCATCATTTAGTGGACCAAAAGTCCACTAAGGACTGGAAGTGCCTCTAGTGGCTGTCTGGTAGACAGCTACAAAAGATGGAGTTAACCCTGCAAGGTAATTATTGTAGCTTATCAATAACTGCAATAATTACCCATTTCAAGGTTAGGGGGAGAGATTTTTAAGATCAAATCACTATTTTGGGAATAATTCCTTGTAAAGTTATCATATAAACTGATTAAGTTACTCACTAAACTCAGAATTGAAGCAAATTAAATCCTACTGGCAAAATATAGGCTAATAGATTGCTTGCATTCCAAAAACAAATATTGGGTCACAGCACACATAAAATGATATTACCAAATTCTTAAACACAATATTTAACCTGTAATACAATTAAAACAGTAGACCATAGTGTGATATATCTGAATAAACAAAATATATGGGTATTTTCTCACATCCAACTCACATTTTGCTGAGCCTTTTCCAGAAGGCTCAGACTTAAAGGAACACTATAGGGTCAGGAACACAAACCTGTATTCCTGACCCTATAGTTCTAAACCCACCATTTAGGTGGCTTGCCATCCCCCTGCCCCCCTGCCCCTTAGATCTTAAAAGGAATTAAAACTCACCTTATTTCCAGCTTTCCATAGGGAAAGCATTGGATTGGCTAAAATCGGCAAGAGGGTTCTAGTGTCTCTGTTCACGCTAAACATTTTTTTTAATTTTATTTTTTTGAGGTTTTTGATATACCATACTTCTTAATATCACCTTCATTTTGGAGGTATGTAGGCTAGGCTACTTAGTTACATTTAGTACACACACCCTTTGTATTTCTTATTTTCTTTGTTTTTGTGGAATATAGGAAGGCTATTTTTCAGACAGTGTTTGAAAACTGACCGTCTCTATGGCATGTTGTTTTAAAACTACACATTCCAGGGTGCTTTGTCAATCTAAAGGCATTTTAAAGGCATGCAAAGCATCATAGGAGTTGTAGTTTTACAACATCTTGGGATCTACCCTTTGGGCACCCCTGCTCTACGGTTTTCCCTGCTTCACTCTCTACGCAGCAGCAGGGAAGACCACAGGCACTGTCTGACACAAGGTGTATGTATATATAATAAAAGTAGTAACAAGGTTTTCTCTTTTTTTTAAATTTACTTGATTTAAAAAAAAAGCTATTTCCTTTCAAAACATGATGAAAGGTTTATTATATTGTAAGATAGTTTTGAGGTGACAGTTGTCCTTTTAGACCAGTGCAGTCAAATTGAAAGCATAGCTGAGTTAGGGAATTTCTGAATTTAAGCAATTTTGACCTTAAAGAGACCATTGAAGTGGTCTGGGTGCAAACTCCCATCACCCTTAAAACAAATCCATTTTCCTGGCACTATAGGCTTCTGGAGTGCCCCCCTCCCGCCAAGGTCAGCCGGTGGGGGAGACCTAATGCGCATGTGCGGCCAATGGCCGCGCGCGCGCGTCAGACCTCCCCATAGGAAAGCATTATTCAATGCTTTCCTATGGGGAAAATCTAACACTGGAGGTCCGTGAGGACATCCAGCGTCAGATAATGGACCAAAAGTCAGTTTGAATTTTAGAAGCCCTCTAGTGGCTGTCTGGTAGACAGCGACAGAGGGCAGACTTAAAGCTGCAATGTAAACATTGCAGTTCTCCGGAGCGTGAGCAGAGCTGAGTCAGCTGAACCCAGGTAAGTGACAGAAGGGGTTATTAACCCCTTAAGGACTGGACTGTTTTTGCGATGTTGTACATTTGCGACCAGGAATATTTTTACACTTTTCTGGTGTTTGTGTTTGGCTGTAATTTTCCGCTCTCTCATTTACTGTTCCCATACAAATTATATATTGTTTTTTTCAGGACAAAAGGGGCTTTCTTTACATACCATTATTTATATAATCTCATGTATTTTAATTTAAAAAAAATAAAAAAAATGATGAAAAATTGAAAAAAATACATGTTTTTTGACTTTTACTTGAAAAATCTTTTACTCATCTACAAAAGCGAATGAAAAAAACTGCTAAATAGATTCAAAATTTTGTCCTGAGTTTAAAAATACCCAGTGTTTACGTGCTTTTTTGCTTTTTTTTGCATGTTATAGGGCTATAGGTACAAGTAGGATATTGCGGTTTCAAAACATGCATTTTTAAAATTTATCAATAGTGACATTGTAACACTATTATCTGTCATAAATCTCTGAATAACACCCCACATGTACATATTTTTTTTTAAAGTAGACAACCCAGGGTATTCAATATGGGGTATGTCCAGTCTTTTTTAGTAGCCACTTAGTCGAAAACACTGGCCAAAGTAAGCATTCATATTTGTTTGTGTGTGAAAAAAGTAAAAAAACTAAATTGAACGCTAATTTTGGCCAGTGTTTGTGACCAAGTGGTTACTAAAAAAGACTGGACATACCCCATTTGCAATACCTTGGGTTGTCTTCTTTTGCAAATGGTATGCCATCATGGGGTAATTCTCATTCCTGGGCTACCATACGCTCTCAAAGGCAACGTAACCAACCTGGCCATTTTCAATGTAAAAATATTTGACCCATGTATTTGACCTTGTAACTTTCAAAAATGCTATAAAACCTGTACATGGCGGGTACTGTTTTACTCGGGAGACATCGCTGAACACATATATTAGTGTTTAAAAACTGGAAAACGTATCACAACAATTATATCATCAGTAAAAGTGCTGTTTGTGTGTGAAAAATGCAAAAAAAGTAACTTTCACTGACAATATCATCGCTGTGATATGTTTTACTGTTTTGAATCACTAATATTTGTGTTCAGCGAAGTCTCCCGAGTAAAACAGTACCCCCCATGTACAGGTTTTAGGGTGTCGTAGAACGTTACAGGGTAAAATACAGTGCTAGCAAATTAAATTCTCTGGAATTTCGGCCTGGGTTGGCAGGCAGGTCCCTCAAATTGCAATCAATAAAATTACTGAATTATGTAAAAATATTACATAAATACGCACGTAGAATTTAAATATATATGCATATTTATATATTTGAAGTCTACGTGTATATTTATATAATTATTTATGTAATTTTGTATATGGACATATGTATATTTCGTATTATTTTTATTTATTTTTATATACATAGATATATATACAAATTCATTCTAAGTGTATTTTGATATAAATATATATATATTAATTTTAAAATACAGTTAGAATAAAATTTCATATAGCTATATAATTTTTTTAAAAATTTTTATTATTATTTTAAATTTTTTTATTTAATTTAAATTACTTATTATTTATATTTTATAATAATATATATATACAATCTATATAGTTATTATATATATTATATATATACGTGTGTAATTTAATTATAAGTGTATTTTTATATTAATATAAGTACATATTAATATAAAAATACACTTAGTATGGCATTATATATATGATATATAGACATATATTATATTGATATAATATATGTCTATATATCATATATACACATATATAATTATTATTATTTTTTTTATTAACATTAACTTTTTTTTTTTTTTTGATTTTACACTAGCAGGGAGACTGCCTGTCAGCACAGGCAGTCCCCCTGCAGGCAGCCCTATGGACACCCATTGTGACCATGTGATCGCTATGTTAAGCAATCACATGGCCCCAGGGGTCCTAAATCAGTGTGGGGAGACTGTCTGGGCTGCAGGCAGTCTCCCCACACCGGGAGCAACACTGATCGCCGCCGGGGGAACGACGGCGATCAGGTAAGTAACGGAAACCGTTAGGACGGTTCAGGACCGTCATCGGTCCGCAATGGGAAAATCCCGATGACGGTCCTGAACCGTCCTCGGTCGGGAAGGGGTTAATCCCTTCTGCACCAGGTGGGATTTGACAAAGAGGGAAGCTACAGTTGCCAGGAAAACAATAATTTTCCTTTAAATTTAAAATCCACTTTGAATTCTCACTTTAAATAACCCTGCCAGTTTATATGAATGGTTGTTGCTTCGATTCTCAATACAAATATGCAAAAATGTGACAGCAAATCCGTTGGAAAATTTATCCAAATCAGCTGTTTTGACCTAAATTTTGAAGTTCGATAATCAATTTGCTACAACTCGGAGCTGGATAAGTAGCTGACCTGGAGAATATTTCCAATTTGTCTAAATAAGCTAAAATGTCAAATTCCCTTTTGTGAATAATCCATTTGTATTAAACATAAAATAATGCGTTATATTAATATGACAGTGACAGAGTAAGGGAATTTATTCACTAAAACGTGCATAAGGTTTATTGGTAAATCCCTGAACTGTGACACAGTTTTGTGATTTTACTAATTATACTGTATTAATTAAATGGAAAGCACAATTAAACTGATTTAACTGAGGCAGAAACAAATGCTAGCTTGTACATCACATTAAAAATACTTGCCAAACTACAAAATATGAATTCTGTTTTCTCTACGACAGAAAAACTGTGTTCTGTCACTGTATGCTACAATTTCAAGAGGTGTCTACCCATTTGAGATGGTACTGGAAGATTTTGCCAAAAACGACATTTATCTGAGATACAGCGACGGCTCAGTTAGTTACAAATCCGAACAATATGTCCGAAAGAGGCGTGCGATGACAAACTATAACTGGTGGACAGCCACAGAAGATACATCAACCGAAGTATTACATACAGACACAACTGATGACACTACCATCGCTATATCATATACAAGCCCAATTGATGACCCAGAATTCATTACAACATTAATATACCCAGTAGCTACTAGTGCAGATACCACATACAGAGAGATTATTGACTCAGATACTGCAAAAACAGACACTTCTAGCACAGAAACTCCAGTCATAGACACTTCTAGCCCAGATATGCCAGTCACAGACACTTCTAGCCCAGAAACGCCAGTCACAGACACTTCTAGCCCAGAAACGCCAGTCACAGACACTTCTAGCCCAGATACGTCAGTCACAGACACTTCTGGCACAGAAACACCAGTCACAGACACTTCTGGCACAGAAACGCCAGTCACAGACACTTCTGGCACAGAAACGCCAGTCACAGACACTTCTAGCCCAGATACGTCAGTCACAGACACTTCTAGCCCAGATACTTCAGTCACAGACACTTCTGGCACAGAAACGCCAGTCACCGACACTTCTAGCACAGAAACGCCAGTCATAGATGCTTCTAGTCCAGATACGCCAGTCATAGACATTTCTAGCTCACCACCAGGTAGAGACAACATTGTTACTTCAGAGGAATATACAATAGAAACCACAAAAATCACAAATATAGACTTAACTGAAACCACAACATACCTCGAGACAACAACTGACATGCCGTCCTCAACAGACATCACCGAAACAACCACACCTGATGCAACATGGGTACCTGAAACAGACACCATTCGCTACCCAACAGGGAGTCTGAGTAAGATACCCCTACAGTTTGCAGTGGAAGGTAAGTTCAGTTACTGTCATTAGTCAATAGGCATTGCCATGGGGGGGATAAGGGAATCTTTGGAGGCTGAAGGCTCAGAAACGGGACTCTTTAGCCCAAGATCTCTACAGGCAAAGGACAGGACAGTACGATATTAGTATTTTCCATTTTTAATTTTACATTCATGATATAAAAAGAATAATCAATAATATAGAATCCTGCCAGACTGGTATGTGGTTGGGTGTTTAGGTGTAACTCAGAAAGAGGTGCTTTGAAAGAGAACGTTCACCACTCTGTTAATTAGGGTGCATGGCAGGATCACACTGAATACCCAATGACGCAGGGAGTGCTTGTTTCTGCTATGCTTTCATTGGGAGCAGCACGCTGTCCTTGGTTAGAAAGGACGGGACATAACATCATTTATTTCTGCAACAGGTGTATCTGGAACCTAGCAACAGCTCTGGAAAAAGACAGGAAAAGTCATACAGACAGGGTTACTGACTAAACGGAAAATTCACAATGAATTCAAAAGTAATTCAAAATTTAAGGCCAAATTAGCCAAACTGACCTAAGAGAATCTTTACAGTTAGACTATTTTTTTAAATTTTGCAATTCACTGTGAATTCTAATGTTAGCAATTAATCTTGAGACAGTTAGATAGTTTAGGGATTCTGCTAATGTACCCAAAATAAAGGATAAAACATAGTGCAATATTGTCTGAAAATAATCAACAATCTGGTGTTATATTGCATTCACAAATTTCAGATGGTCAGAGCGTTTTATAGGTGCCACCCTCGATGTTAGGGGGCTTCGGTTTCCTCCTTTAGTGATAGCCTTTGGACACCTAGACTGGTATGATGGTTCACAAACTCTAGCTGAAAGGATAATCAAAACAGGTATTTATTCCCATATGAGGTAAAAAATCATACATGAACAAAAATTATATAAAAAATGGTCCACAGGTCCTACGCATTTCGTTCTTACAAAGAACTTCCTCAGGGACCAAACTACATAAAACAATGATAATATTAAACAAGCAAGTAAAACCCAAAAGGCAATCTAAAACACTCATCCTTCAGTCCTCTATGGGCTACTCCCTCATAGTTTATTGGTGGAATAGTGGGTGTCTTCCCTTACTTGGCTTCCCATTCGTTGATGGATCTTCTCCACAGGTGTTCGTCCTTACTGCCGGTGAAAAGGTTATTTCGTAGCATACCGTAATTACTTCCGCATTCTCTGACGTATTTCGCACTGATCCATCATGGCCACGCATTCCACGATGGCGGAAGGTGTACAAAACGTTCTAGTCTCCCCCTAGTGCTCGCCGGAAGGAACAGCTCCAAAACCTTCTAAACGAGAGGACTGTTAAACACATATTTTATATAGCAAAATCATCTGTTTATCCTTAGTTTCGATGATGAGTTGTTAAAAAAAAAAAAAAAAAATGTTGAATATATAAACATGAATATCTGGAGTTTAAAGGACCACTCTAGACACCCAGACCACTTCAGCTTAATGAAGTGGTCTAGGTGCCAGGTCCAGCTAGGGTTAACCCATTTTTTTATAAACATAGCAGTTTCAGAGAAATTGCTATGTTTATAAATGAGTTAAGTTTTCCCCCAAAGCCTCTAGTGGCTGTCTCATTGACAGCCACTAGAGGCGCTTGCGTGCTTCTCACTGTGAAATTCACAGTGAGCGCACGCAAGCGTCCATAGGAAAGCATTGATAATGCTTTCCTATGCGACCGGCTGAATGCGTGCGCAGCTCTTGCCGCGCGTGCGCATTCAGCCGACGGGGAGGAGAAGAGGAGGAGAGCTCCCCGCCCGGCACTGGAAAAAGGTAAGTTTTACCCCTTTCCCCTTTCCAGAGCCGGGCGGCAGGGGGTCCCTGAAGGTGGGGGCACCCTCAGGGCACTATAGTGCCAGGAAAACGAGTATGTTTTCCTGGCACTATAGTGGTCCTTTAAACACATTGTGGTGCTATGGAAAGATGTCATTTTTTATTTTAGTTTGTCTTAATTATTGTTCATCGACAATTACGATTATTTTCAGACAATATTGCACTATGTTTTATCGTTTATTTTAGGTACATTAGCAGATTCCCTTTGTATATATCTATGCTGTGTGGTTATCATCTGGGAGATAACCTTGGGAAGGTGTGTAGTTATAAGCTAAATTTTTGTACAGGGAGTGCAGAATTATTAGGCAAGTTGTATTTTTGAGGATTAATTTTATTATTGAACAACAACCATGTTCTCAATGAACCCAAAAAACTCATTAATATCAAAGCTGAATATTTTTGGAAGTAGTTTTTAGTTTGTTTTTAGTTATAGCTATGTTAGGGGGATATCTGTGTGTGCAGGTGACTATTACTGTGCATAATTATTAGACAACTTAACAAAAAACAAATATATACCCATTTCAATTATTTATTATTACCAGTGAAACCAATATAACATCTCAACATTCACAAATATACATTTCTGACATTCAAAAACAAAACAAAAACAAATCAGTGACCAATATAGCCACCTTTCTTTGCAAGGACACTCAAAAGCCTGCCATCCATGGATTCTGTCAGTGTTTTGATCTGTTCACCATCAACATTGCGTGCAGCAGCAACCACAGCCTCCCAGACACTGTTCAGAGAGGTGTACTGTTTTCCCTCCTTGTAAATCTCACATTTGATGATGGACCACAGGTTCTCAATGGGGTTCAGATCAGGTGAACAAGGAGGCCATGTCATTAGATTTTCTTCTTTTATACCCTTTCTTGCCAGCCACGCTGTGGAGTACTTGGACGCGTGTGATGGAGCATTGTCCTGCATGAAAATCATGTTTTTCTTGAAGGATGCAGACTTCTTCCTGTACCACTGCTTGAAGAAGGTGTCTTCCAGGAACTGGCAGTAGGACTGGGAGTTGAGCTTGACTCCATCCTCAACCCGAAAAGGCCCCACAAGCTCATCTTTGATGATACCAGCCCAAACCAGTACTCCACCTCCACCTTGCTGGCGTCTGAGTCGGACTGGAGCTCTCTGCCCTTTACCAATCCAGCCACGGGCCCATCCATCTGGCCCATCAAGACTCACTCTCATTTCATCAGTCCATAAAACCTTAGAAAAATCAGTCTTGAGATATTTCTTGGCCCAGTCTTGACGTTTCAGCTTGTGTGTCTTGTTCAGTGGTGGTCGTCTTTCAGCCTTTCTTACCTTGGCCATGTCTCTGAGTATTGCACACCTTGTGCTTTTGGGCACTCCAGTGATGTTGCAGCTCTGAAATATGGCCAAACTGGTGGCAAGTGGCATCGTGGCAGCTGCACGCTTGACTTTTCTCAGTTCATGGGCAGTTATTTTGCGCCTTGGTTTTTCCACACGCTTCTTGCGACCCTGTTGACTATTTTGAATGAAACGCTTGATTGTTCGATGATCACGCTTCAGAAGCTTTGCAATTTTAAGAGTGCTGCATCCCTCTGCAAGATATCTCACTATTTTTGACTTTTCTGAGCCTGTCAAGTCCTTCTTTTGACCCATTTTGCCAAAGGAAAGGAAGTTGCCTAATAATTATGCACACCTGATATAGGGTGTTGATGTCATTAGACCACACCCTTCTCATTACAGAGATGCACATCACCTAATATGCTTAATTGGTAGTAGGCTTTCGAGCCTATACAGCTTGGAGTAAGACAACATGCATAAAGAGGATGATGTGGTCAAAATACTCATTTGCCTAATAATTCTGCACTCCCTGTATTTCTTTTTATTTGCACAATTCACTTAGAAATCACAGGTGGATTTGCAGTCTCTTTGAGATAAGTTCAGTTTATGTACTGGAGTATAATTCAGTGTTAATTTTGTCTACCAACAATTTTAGTTGACTAAAATTTTTGAGATTTAGCCGACTAAAACCAGACTAAAACTAAAACAATTCAGATTACTAAAATCCGATTAAAATTAAAATGGCATTTTAGTCAAAGGACTATGACTAAAACTAAATTGAAATTTGCCATCAAAATTAACATTGATATAATTAGACACATTTATATAAATATGCTAAATCTGAAAAACAGAAAGAAAAAAACAGTAGCCCCCACTCTATTTTAGCACCACTTTCTACCCCTTACACTATTTGTTATTTCAGAAGGGAGATTTCAAAGTGAATGCAAAGTAAATTTTCAAATTTAAGGCTGAAACTGAAAATCTGAAAAAATTTAGCCAGTCAGCTATGCTTCCAATTTGGGAACTTTGACGTTGGATTTGAAATTCACTTTGAATTCTGACCCTGTTAGTTTATGTTACTGCCAGATGTCTCCTTTACAACTCTCACAGTTTCTTAATTTTCTTTCTATCTCCTTCAGTACACGTCAGTCTTATCCTGAACTTTAATGTGCCACTATTTCCCATCATAATGCAGTTTTATTTTTTCACTCTCAGAGTTATTATTCCCTGACATGAGAATTGTTGGGAATTCGAAGTGAATTCAATAGGGATTCCAAATTTAAGGCCGAAATAGCTGCACTAGAGGAATTCTACAAGTTAGCTATTAGACAGCAAGTTATCTAAGTTAGCTGACAGTATAGCTAACCTATATATTATTTTTAAAAATTCTTTAGTTAAATACAGATCGGTGGATATATGCCGCTTACAATGAACAAGCACATGCACAAGGATAAGGCGGTCCCTCCAATTTGTTATATACAGATAATGCAAAAGATAATAAAACAGTGTTACAATTAAAACATTAGAAACATTAAAAAAGACTGTCAGGAGACTACATGATTTATTACAAAATCATGATAGCGTTCAAGATCTATGATCCGTTATTTATCCTTTTTTTTTTTTTTTTAATTCTTTATTTTTGTTGTGCATATGTGTACAGTACAGGCAGTCTAGAGATGCCCCAAGAGCAATCCCTCAGCAATTCCCACGCTCAACATGCGGGGCACAAGTTGGACAAGCACATTTTATATTAGTAACAAGTTTAAACATTCGATTTTACCAGTAGCTATATTGTATATTCAAGTTGTGTCTATGCGTTGACTATATTTTAAATGCTCTGAATATTGCTGGTGCATAACATATATTATAAAAGCAAGCTAAAGCTGTAAGTTTAAACAATAAGTATGTTTTAGTTATAGACAGGCTAGAGTCCAGTTGAACGCTTAAGCGCTGTTACCACCCCGGCCGGCCGGGACCCCCATGCTGCCTCCGCGGGGAGCTGTCTTCTTGGCAGTCCTGAGTCCTCACATACGCGGGGAGTCCCACTGGTAACCAACACCTGCTCTGCTCGATCTGTGTGGCATGTGTCGAGTGTCCTCTGGAACAGGTATCAGGCCACGGGCCACCTATGTAGCGCTATAGGGTGCTGTCGATTCTTGGGTGGCTTTGTTGCAGACTGGGTGTGTGGTTGGTCTGTCTTCGCGCCGGTGACAGGCTCAGTCCATTCAGGTAGCAATGGTCGTTGCGCGGGTTACCTCCTTCCCCCCATGCCGCTGCCATTGTCGCTGGTTCAAATACCTGCGGGTGGAGGTGACAATGGTCTCGCTTCTCAGCTTTGCCAGGTTCGAAGGTAGGAACCGCGTTGTCAGCTGTGGGTATTAATGCTGGGTGCCGGTCACCTCTTCGTCCCCTGCGCACATGGTGCCCGCCATCTTGGATCTCTCAGTCTGACTCCACAGCTTCAGCCGCGGCGTCCCGGTCAAAGCCTTAAGGTGGGGACCGGGATCACCCCCCCGGTCCATAGGGGGGGGAACAGGGCCGAATCCGCCCGGATTAGTGCCTTAGGTTGGGTGTTGTATTGCAGGTCGGTGGGGCAGCGGCCGTCCGCCCCACCGCCGGAGAAGGCCCCACGAGAGCGAGAGCGAGAATTTCTCTTCCAGGGGACTGTAGCTCGTGGAGCCAGCCTCGCCCTGGATCCAGCCGTCCCTCTGCGTTTGGCTTCGTTGCTGTCAGTCTGTTGTTCATTTTAAAGGCATGGTTTTTGGTCGTTTATATTGTTGTGGTGCAGGAGCTCTGCTTGCCTGCGACTGTCCAGCTCGGCGGTCCGGCCCCGCCCCGTTATTTATCCTTTTTACATTAGATGTGGGTGATTTCTTACAGGGAAGATATTTGCAAAGTGTCTCTCCACGTCTCAGAAAGGAAAAGAAAAAATAGTTAGATGGGGTGTAAGAAAGAAGGAGGTGGTGCCACGGAGAATCGGTCTGTAATTATAATTTGTTGAAAAAAATTAGATTATTTATGGACACTGTCACCATGTACATATGGTGTATTCGGTGCATATGTTTAAAATATACAGTTTTGTAGATCCTAATACAAGAAGCTAGCTATCTTCTTTGTCGTTTATAGTCTGAGAATCCAGTAATGGGCATCTCTTATGAATAAGTATGGCCACCTGTTTTGTTTTTGATGCGAGACAGAGGTATAAGCTGATGTGCCATTTTAGGGCTATGCGTTTCTTGTAGTAAAGCTATATCTGTCGTAATCTTTTCATCTCTCAAGTAATAGCCTTCTCTTATTGGGGATATTGTTTAAGCCATTCACGTTTTTTTGTGAATAATATTTTATTGTTTTTTAACAAATAAAAGGAAAGAAACAAAATGAGACTCACAGGTCCCCAGTGTGATGAGCATTCTGTGGAAAGATGTGTAAGTGTAGGTAAATTGTCCAACGGTAATTGAAACCCCTCCTGTGGAGATAAATTTATTTTATTTATAAAATATTTTACCAGGAAAGATACATTGAGATTTCTCTAGTTTTCAAGTATGTACTGGGTATATCCAACTATCTGAAGAACAGACACAGGTCCGTCTTCTGCAAAAGAGTAACTGTTCTGCCATTATAGAAAGCCAGGATCTTAAAGGGGGATTGCCATGCAAATTTTATGCGATGGTCTTGTAGAATTTGCCTCTTCTACAGGGTAGGAAATAAGTCCTGGAAAATCTGCAGTGGGTTATTTTGGTAGGTCAATACAGTGGTCTTGCAGGTGTCTTATGATGGCTTCTTTAGCTGTAAAAAAGTGGAGTGCTCTATCATGTCTCTTGGCTGCTCACACTCTGATCTTCTTGCTCTAAAGGCCCTATGTGCCTTACAATCACTCAAAACTGGTCCGGTCTTTCAGGCACTTAGGGCGTATGATAGGGCAAGATAATAGTGTTACGCGATCCGTCTCTCTCCTGTTCTGGTAGGTCCCTTACTCTTAGATTATTTTGCCTAGTGCAGTTTGAGGGATCTTCAATGAATATTTGCTGCCTCTTACAATCTTGTCTGGGCAATTGCAGCAGGATCCATCGACTTGCTGTAGGCCTCTAGTGCCTCCTCCCATCCCTCTAGTTTAACTGTTCTCTGGCCCAATGCAAAAATCTCAACCTTAACATCCTCGGCACTCCTGTTTATTTCATAGTAAAGTATGTTTTTAACTTGCCCATATGTTTAAGAATTGTGGAAATATCGTAGCAGTAGGCTTGCTCTTCCTCTCCTACCTTGTTTTGACTGCTCGATGTATGGCTGCATGTGTTGACTGCTCCTCCATTTTGTTCCATCGTCTGGTGATGTTTGCTGGTGAATAAGTGGGTCATGGATGGTTCTCTCACCCAAATTTAGCAGGCTGCCAGTGCCATCAATATTTGTAATTTGTCAGGGTTATTCTGTTCTTAATAAGTTGTTTGCTGGTTGCCTTGAGCAAAGCCAGGCGCCTATCCTTCCAAGCTATGCCCCCCTCCGGCGTTCAGCTGTTTTGACCTTTTTTGACCTTTTGTCCAGCCAATTTGAAATTCACTTTATATTCCCTACAATTCTCACTTTAGTAAATAACCCTTCATGTCTTACACAATATCTTGCCTTACCTAGATGCTTTGTATCCACCAGCAGTATTTCCTATGTCTTTAAAGTACTGTTCCCTGACACCAAATGTTTTTTTCTACTACCCCTCTCCCAGTGTCTTTGTTCTCTAAATCCCAACTCTTCTAACATTCCCATCTCTCTCTATATATCTGTCATTTCCCTTTTCTTAAACTTAGTCTTTTTCATTCACTCTCCTACCCACACACCTCCTCAACACCTGTCTTTCTCCCTTTCTCCCCAGTTTCTCAAGTACACCTCTCCTACCCATATATCTTGTATTCTCTTCCCCATCCATAGGAAAAATATATATTTCATCATTAGCCATGTTGGTCAGTAAATTATTTGTCTGGGTGGAAATAAATATGTCTCACTGCTCTCTTTGATCCTACACACCTTTTGGTGTTCTAACTCATTATTAATGCCAGATTAGACAGAGCAGATTAGACAGAGCAGTGAGAGCGATCTATACTAGAGGGAACTTTGTCATTGTGTCATTGCAATACAGTGTTCTAGCAAATCGGGTCGTTAACCTAAAGAATGCTCACATATGTAACACACATTTATTTTAATATATAAAGTATGTGGGAAGCTAAAATTTAATAAAATGCTCTTTGTTTGTAAATAAAATGCTGATGTTTTTGTAAGCATAAATTCCCAATATTCCAACAGAATTTTAAAAAAAAGAAAATGCGTGGTGGTCAGAAGCCAGTATTTCCAGTATTTTGTATTGCAGGCTATTGCACTCTGAAGATTTGCCCTGCTATTTTTACCCTAAGCCCTTCCTAGTTACTCTACTCAGACTGATGCTTTTTGGACCCATGGTTTGAACTATGCAGGCTCCAGTAAAGTGTAGAATGGGGGAGATTGATTTATTTTACAATTCATAAGTAATTCTCTGAATGTTCTTTGCCAGTGACTAGCGCAGTATCTTCATGTACATATGGAGTCTACAGACCAGAGTTTCTCCCACCGACACCGAACAATGGTGAAATCCTTCATGCTAGGGCAAGAATGCCATTCGAGATCCACCTCGCAGCTCAAGCAACACACAGCAGGTACAGATACATCTACTTATAATAACTTAGTAATAATCTAACAGGGTTTCTGAATTGTGTAAAGAGCTAGATTCTAACATCTATAGAGGTCTGTAGGGATTGGTATCTTTTGACTCCTATAATTCAATCGAAATCTATCACTGTGTCCAATGACAGAAAATAAGCAAACTTGATCGCAACATTTAAGAAAACAAAAAAACTATAGTGCGAGCTGTAAATACAGTATAAGTGTAGGTGCTACTGTAATCACCTTTGGAACAGTCACTCAATCCCACCTGATTAAAACACACACCGAATAAAACCAGGTGAAAGCACACCGGAGATACAAATATACCTTTCACATCCTTAAAAAAAAGGGCCACAAAACAAAAATGTAGAAAAATATTGCGCAGTGCAAATCTTAGAACTCCAAGGGATCTGGAACATTGCCTTTACATTTTCTACCGGGTAACTTTTAGACAGTTTTTTAATCTTCTAAAACTTTATTTCCAGTATTTGTTTTTGGGACCATAGATTTAATTTATTAACAATATTCTGGATAATTCATTAGGTCACATTGATTTTATCTGTGTATTGTATTTAATTTTGTATTTGTTTTGTGTGATTTCTATATTTAGCATAGCAGATTTTAGGGTCAGTGGCCCCTACAACATGACTAAAGGGGCAGTTAGAAAAAATGGAAACAGTGCAACAAAGATCATAGAATGGACACCAACGGACAATGATGTTGGAGACCATGTTCCTTTCTGTTTTGTAGCAGAAACCATCAATGGGTCAGTATTGTCTTCTCGTATTGAACAGCTAAGAAATTACAAAATATGTTCCTATTCTCACCAGTCCTTTCTTTTTTATTTTTCACCAGGTACAATTCAGAATTAAGATGCATCATTGTTATCGTTGATAACATGGGTATGTTTTGCATTCTTTGAAAATGGTAATTGGTAATGATTAATTAAATGACAGACTAGAGGAAATATAGGCTTTAGTTATGTATAGTGTCAGTAGGCCGTAGTGCCATAAATTTCAGCAACGAACAGACAATTCTAGATTGGCAACCTCGTTCTCTTGTATGTTTGTGCCATTTTGTTATAATGTGCATTGCTGAGCTAACGTTTGCCCTGACTTTAACTGTTGTGGACTTCGTTTCCCATGATGCTCTAGGTGCTGAGGTTTAAGGTAAACACAATCCACAACAGTTGTCTCCACACACGGTTATCACTGATCTCCAGAACAAAATCACAAGAGCAGGTCCAGGGTGGGAGCACCAGGGCAAGTGCCCCCCACAAACTGCCTTACTAGACAGGTTCCGATGTGGGTACCTGTATGTTAATTCATTTCTTTATTGTTTGGGAACGCTATTTTATATTATTACTACACTGCAAGCCAGCAAATGAGTCAGAGTACTAGAAGAGAGCCCACTTTGCCAGGAATCGTAAGTTACATGCTGGGGTGGGAACTAAACAAGGAGTTAACACATTAACTTCTTAAAGGGACACTATAGTCACCAGAACAACTACAGCTTATTGGATTTGTTCTGGTGAGTAGAATCACTACCTTTAGGCTTTTTGCTGTAAACACTGTCTTTTCAGAGAAAATGCAGTGTTTACATTACAGCCTAGTGATAACTCCACTGGCCACTCCTCAGATGAATGTTAGAGATCCTTCCTGGGTCATGGCTGCCTAAAATGCATCCAAACATTCAGTGTCTCCTCCCTCTGCATGCAGACACTGAACTTTCCTCATAGAGATTCATTGATTCTATTCATCTCTATGAGGAGATGCTGATTGGCCAGGGCTGTGTTTGAATCATGCTGGCTCTGCCCCTGATCTGCCTCTTTGTCAGTCTCAGCCAATCCTGTGGGGAAGCATTGTGATTGGATCAGGTTACCACTTCTGATGATGTCAGCAGACTGCTTGTTTTTCTGAGTCTAACAGTATGCAGAGTTACAGTTTCAGGCTTGAATACAAGACTTTTACTATATTTAGGAGGCATGAGGGGCACAGGGAGCTAGATGGTGGTTTTAACACTATAGGGTCAGGAATACATGTTTGTGTTCCTGGCCCTATCGTGTTCCTTTAAGTTTCTCAGTGACTGTTCTTCTATAAAATCTTTTTCTAGAAAACTATAAAAAAAAACCTGTGAGACTTGATAAAGCGAGGATCTCCTGAAAGGTTTTTGCTCCAAAATTCAGTTAGTCCATAAATACATATATTGCAAGACATGGTATTTATATAGATGTTTAATAACTTTATTTGCTTATATATTTATAAATATTTTATTATCTGATCAGTGAGGACCACCTTGCTGTGTAATGAAAACACAATGACTCTATTCATTCAAAAAACCTCATCTAATGGTCTGTACGATAACCACCTGCGCCTGATTGATCCTCGATGTCTGCTTACCTCCAATAGTACGCATCATATTGCAAGTGTGGGATTTAACTCCTGTGGCACAGAAATTGAGGTAACATTCTGCTACTGGTAAAACCTGATCTTAACAGTTTTAATGCATGTACACAATTATTCTTAAAAAGGGGGCTTACATACCCATACGTGCGAGTAATTCAGGGGCTCATGTACACAATGATTTTCTCTGAATGTTGACTTCTAAAACCAGACGCATTAGACATCCGATATACTTTCAGTAAATGAGTCATTTATGGGCATGACATGGGATCTCTTAAAGAAGATTTTTATGGAACCTTTTAAAATCAAAACTATAAATTGGCTTTTTTTAAATTAAATACTTTGGTGAATTCTGTCTCCTGTAAATATATATTTTTAGAAACGTGTACCAAATACTTTGCCTTCTTTTTTTATTAGGAAACAGAAGATAGCATTGTTTTTAAAAACCAAGTGACTTCATTTGATGATCTAACAGATGTCATTACAAGAAAGCACCAGGTGGTGATATCCTTTAACTGCACATTTCCAAAAAAGAACCGCCTGTCTGTTTCATTTCGTCCTAAAAAAGCACTTTTTGAGTTCACTGAGGCAGGATTTGGTAATTTCACCTACAAGTTCCAGTTCTACACAAATGACCAGTTTACAATTGTGCAAACACAATCTCCACTGGAGGTCTGGCTGAGAGACATGCTCTACATGGATATACAAGTAATGTCTTCTGTACCCAATGTACAGCTATTTGTGGAGTCGTGCAAGGCCACCCCGCATGATAATCCCGACGATCCAGTGTTTTATAACATCATAGAAAATGGGTACATCCACTTTTTTGTTCATTTAAAAAATCCATGGAGTTTGTGTACATGGTCTAGTGTATGGTTTTATACTGACAGAATAATAATGTTTCATTAATTAGAACTTCAAACCTGTATAGCAATGTCATTAGATCACAGAGGGCACTAACGTATTGTCAAATTTGGTTCCCACTTGTGAACACTATTACTCAATGATCATTAGTGGCTTCTGGTGGGATTTAAAGACCTACAAAGGAGAGGCATAAAAAATGTGATGTCCCATGAGTCTTCATCACAACGTCAACATGTAGCAATGTAAAAAAAAACTTCCTTAAAGCACTGCAAAGGCGTATTGTCCCATGTAGATAACACGGAATGCTAATTCCACATTTTAACATCCCATTGAAGTCTATAATAATCTCAATGTTATGAAACATCAGTGTAGGATCGAAAGCCCTGCGTTGGGGGCAAACATTAAGCCATATAATTTTCTATAGGCAAAATGATATATTATCATTAGGGAGTCTATTGGAAGAATGGGTCGGGCAACTCTTTTAACATATGTTTTGTTCTTCTTATTGGCTGATTACATTGACCGTGCTAACGCCACTTGCCTTAGAGTTGGGGAACTCAGGTTCGAATCTCGGTTTTCTAAGGCAGTGCTAACGCCACTTGCCCTAGAATTGGGAAATTGGGTTCGAATTTCGGTCACATCATATCACCAGTAAGTGTCCTTGGGGAAGACACCTAACAATATATATCCACCTCATGTTTCCTCATAGATTGTATGCTCGATTTAGCAGGTCCTCCTTCAAATATCCCCTTTCTATAATTGTAAAGAGCTGAGGAATATGTAGGCAATATATAAATGATAATAATATTATATAATATAACAGTGAAACATTGATTTTTAAATCTACACCATCAAGACTAGGGGGAGGCAATCTTACCTCTCTTATCCCCTGACTCGATTTTCTAGGCTGTATTTGTCCCCCCTCCCTCTGGTTTCGACACTCATGGAATAGAACATACTTTAAAACAATTCACAGTTTTTCATCATTGGTACCCTGCATAGTAATGAGTGAGTGTCATGTGTTGTTTATGTTGATTTGAGCCTTTCCTTATTATTCAAAGAGTACTCTGTCAGATTCTAACTCAGCCATAATTCAGCCATAATAACTCAGGCTGCCATTTTGTGCAGCCTTTCTGTCAGTACTCCATTTTGATTAGCTTGCTGATCTCTAACATGGACAGAGTTATCTGTTATGTGACAGACACCCTGACAGTATAGCGTATCTACCTCTGTATTATTAGGGAAATTAGAGCTTTCAGTTAGCAACCGCGCTTGTTTACTTTAAGGAAATCACAGATACCGTCACTAAATGAAAGATTTATCTCTGTTTAGGTGTTTAAAGGACGAAACCTTGAAAAAATACACGGGTACAAACACAAGGTCTAGGTTTGGATTAGAGGCGTTCACATTCATTGGAAATTATGAAGAGGTAAATCGAATTAATCTGTGAACTAGCTACCTGATTCTGATATTTTTTAAAGGGTTACACCAACCAAAAAAATAGATTTCAATAAATTATTGTTTTTGGTTAGAGTAAGCTTTGCTGGCATGGTCCCCCCAAAAGAAAAAGAAAGAAAGTAAAGACTTACGTGTAATCCCATGCCAAGGCCAGGTTCTCCCTGCAGCCCTCTCTGCTGTCCTCGCCTACTCCCTCCCTTCCTGCAACGAGAATGATGTCCCGGAGGCCGTGCTGAGCGGAGGACTTGGGTGGAACAAAGGGGGGAACCATGCCACCATTCTGGGCTGGCTAATGACACTACCAGAGGTGGGGTTACACCTCCAGCAGCTCTTTATAGTCAATGCATATACAAACTCCAATCACCACGACCACTTCAAATCAATGAAGATAATTAGGCACTTAAAACATGATTCAAATTGCTCCAAAAACTGCTGCTGCACCAGCCAGTCAGTAACTTAATCTATTTTCACACTGAACAAGTGATGGATAGTAAAGTCTGATCAAGAATAACCTTAACACAAACATGATGAGTTTGTGTGTGTATGTGTTCATGATAATGATTGTGGAGGGACTGCTGCCTGTCCATGAATTGCCTGTCTGTTATTATGTGTGTTTCGTTATCTTTTCGTGTCTTCTGCCCGCTCCCCCTTTGGGAGTGCTTGCACGAAGGGAATTCATTCACCTCCCGAACGGTGACCATTTAGAATGTTAGTTTAGAACATTTTCACCTTGCAACATGGTGTCAAACTGCAAACTGCAAGGGAAACAATTAATGAGCACTTCACTGGCTGGCCACCATTCATGCAGATGAACGCCAGCCAGAGGGAGCATTCGTGGATTTTGGGGTCCAACTCGTTCTTTTCCCGAACGAGGACCTCCCCAGTGCCCCATTAGAACGTTCACACCAATTAATCAGAACGTTCGCACTTGCAAAATACATGTGAAACCCGGAAGGGAAGTAATTAATGATTGCTCCCTGGGTGGCCGCCATTTCGTACAGACAAATGCCGTCCAGGGGGAGCATTCACGTCCCGGAAGGAGACGCTTCCCTTGTAGGGTTTTACACAGAGACCTCAGGAGCAGAGCCTGGTCGAGGGAGGTACCACTGCGAGGGTCCCTAAAGGGTTGGTGTTGGCCCTTCTGGGGCACTGGCGAGTTTGGCGGGCTTTGCGGTGCCCGCTGAGACAAAGAGACAGGCTCTTTTCCTGCGGGCAGGCTCTCTGTGCCTAGGAGACAAAGTCCCTTTTTCCCGCGCTTGGTCTCCCAGGTACAGAGGTTCATGGGATGAAGACCCTTGTCCCCGGATGTGGGAAACCCTGTGGTTGGGTGGTGGGCTTTTGGGGACAAAGGCACAAAGCCCTTTACCACGCTAGGTCCCCGGGGAGGGGGAGGATCCTGGGAGGAAATATTGTATGTCATGTGTTACACCCCTTGCATGGGGTTATGCTTAAAAGCCGTGTGTGGCAAGTAAAATTGTTGTTGTACCTCCAGAACTGTGTGTCATCCAGTTACTGGGGGGGAAATGGGTCTCTTTATATCCTAAATGGTTCCTGTTCAGCTGAAGGAAGAGAAATTGCGGAGGTGATCCACTACAATAATGTTTTCTGATCCATTATTCAACCCCTCAGTGATTAATAGGTTTAAATCCTTCATAACCTGATATTATTCTGTCATCAAGTCTTATTGATGATATGGAATATTCTCTAGAATATCTTTTTGATAAGAGTAGTCACTTACGAACCAGTAGGTACAATTTCATGGCTTGCGACCCCTGGGACAACCATTGTTTACAAACATGGGATTGTCCATCAACAGAAAAGGAACAAAGCAAAGACACAGAGATTAGCAGGGGTGCACCGAAAGAGGAAGAGACCCTTACTGAGCTGAACTGTATCCTACAGAGCGTCCCTATCAGGCTCCAAACTCAGCTGAAACTGACTCTTTGTTTGATTTCTACCCTATGTTTTCATAATAATCCACCAAAAATGATCAAAAATAAACTCTGATACTTAATGTATGTCTTCTATTGAAGGTTTATGTGAGCTGCACGGTCATGCTATGCAAGCTAGGGGACCCCAACACACGCTGTGCTCGGGGTTGTGTCGCCAGGTCAAGTCGCCGTAGGAGGTCACTAACAGCTGAGGCAACTGAGTCACTGCAGCACTTCATTTCCCAGGGTCCTTTGCGTATGAAGAGACAGTCACTCAACCAAGGTAAGGACAAGTTCATTGACTGAATTTGTTTTGAACAGAGATTATTTCCGTGCAGATATTACAAGATAAATAGTGCTGGCAATGGAATGAAGCTCCATGAGACCCAAAGAGTTTCTAATCTCAAGTAATAGGAAACAGTGAGATCTGCATGTACAAACAGCACAGATCTTACTGCTTTACTTCACTAGTCCATCAAAGATGTCCCCTACTTTCGCTCACAGCGAGATAGTTATGGAAAAAAAGGCAGAAGGAAACCAGTAAAAGCACAACGAGAACATTTTGTTTCATTAATGATTTATTGATTTCTTTACGGTTCTTTCCAAAGCAAGACAAATAAAAGGATCTAGAAGTTGACCGCCTCATGCATCAGCTGCCTCGTAGATTTGGAAATGTCAGGGTTTACAATATCTTTAAGTCTAAAAAAAAGTGTAATTAGGTACAAAACTATTAATAGCAGGGGCTACTTGTTGGAAAATAGCCCAGTACTACGTTGTCTAGGCAAAACATTATCAAGAGTGTTTTCCTAAATCTGAGTTAAAGGTGTTGGTGCTCAAAACAGAGAGAAAGACTTTTTGACATTTTGTCAAGACTCACCTCTTCCTCGTTCCTATGATCACTTGTTTTCTCCTTTCCTCCGTATTGTCCACTTCCTCTTCTGATGTGGCCACACCTCGACGTGATGTCCACAAACTCCGTCCTTGTTAAGAGCAAGCATGTTGCAACAGTGTATCGCTCAGTTATTTTTTTTTTTTGCTCCTGATCAATAGTGTTGCTACCTGAGCTCTTCTCTTCTGTTCCTAATTGTTGCCGGACTTGCTAGTTTTCTCGTATTTGCTGCCTTTTCCTAATCTGAACTCTAATACAAATTTTGACCTTGAATTAGCCAGCTGATTTTCTAACGTGAACTAAAAACTCAACTATAATATCTGCTCTATGGTTTGTGCTTCCTGCACCTAATTAACATGCTTGCTCAGCCTGTTTCCATTCCTGCAAATTTGGAGGTGACTATTATATCTGCATTTGTATTCCAGAATAAATTTTCCTGATTAGGGACTGACACATTTCTATTCCAGTCAACAGCTAGTCTATTATAGATAGATAGATAGATAGACAGACAGACAATCACTGTGATCCTTTCCACCATGATTTTAAGAAATATCATTGTTCTTGCTTTGTATCACATGGTAGACAAACCTCTTTATTTATTTGTTAGTATTTGTTCTCATTTTTTTTTCTGTTACTTTCTGCAGATTCCGAGGGGAAGGTTGCACTGAACATTAACACTCTGATTATGTCCTTGTCTGGAGTCGCAGTTGTCGCCCTAGTTGCGTTGACGGCATATTTCATTATGAAGAAAGCCAGAACCACCAATTACCAGAGGCTCTCCACAGTGGAATCGTGAGCTGGACATTTCTGTGCTAACAGAAACACATTCTCAATGTATATATAGGAAAGCAATATACATCTATATCCCTTTAGATATATAATAGTTATCAATTCAAAGAAAATGCTTAAAGGCTGTAATTTCATTTGTAAAATCACTGTTTGATGTGTTGTAGAGGATTTTAAGAGGATTTTAAATAAATGTTATTTGTGAACAATTGCACACAGTTGTTCACAAGTGCAAGTTACAGTGAACTTTTTTTCCCCCATAAAGTCACGATTTGTGGAACAACTTTTGACTATCCCAACGCAACTGACAAAAGCCAGCAACAAGTTGTGAGTGTGTGTCTCTCAGGAGTTTATTCACTAAATAAATTTTTTTTTAATAAATTGATGTCTGAATTGCAAAATATAGTCTAAAAATCAGGGGGAGGAACCTAGCGCCTGAGCCCAATGGACGCCATCCACAACAGCTCCGTACACATTGTGAACTATCCACTAAAATCTGAGCTCCGTCAATGCCAGCTCACAACATCGACAGTAGAGGGTGAGCTTCACACCCATGCCATTCCTGTGCCCAAAAATGGTCACGAAAGCTTGCCGCAAAACCGGGGCCTACCTCGAGTGTTCAGCCTCACAGAGCTTCCTACAGGACCTGGATTCCGAAATAGACAAGCTGTACTGCAATCCGTGGCTACCTGACAACCCCGCTTTACCCACTCACAGCATGGAACGCAGACCCCAAAAGCCACAACAGGCCCCAGCAAAATCTCCCAAGATATCGGGGCAATGATCCAGGGCCGGGCTGCATCCAAGATGGCGGCCTGGTCGGAAAGTGGGACAAACAAGGCAGACTCCCCTGCAGACTTTACAGATGCAGGTAACACGACTTCCACCTTCCTCCAAACTCTGGGGATCACTCCAAACACAGTCACGATGAATGCCTCCCTAACCAACCATGTCTGGGACCCTGCACGTGTAGAGCCTTTCCGACCAGGAAGAAGGGAGAAGCCTGGACCGGCAACCTGAGCTACCCGTAGAACTGCACATTATGTTCACATGTGTTCTATATATGTTTTATTTTTTTATGTTGAAACACCCACTTTGTTTAAACCTATACCCGTTTTACACCGTATAGGTTGCGGTCAGTTTTTGCCTAACCAGACCTGACACGCTGTCCAAATCAGTGGGATCACTTTGACCCATTATCTAGGATGGAACCCTAGGTACTTTAACAAACCTTCTATTCAACCCCCCCGTTACCCCATGGATTTACCCATCCAGTCGCAGAGTCTGCAGATACCTGTCACCATAACGGAGGTGCCACTCATCAGTTAGTGCACACACAAACCACAATTTCCCTGCCTTACTAGAGGGCTTACAGACCTGACAGAACTGAAGGTTATGAGAAGCATTCTTATTTTCACCTTTAAGTTATGTAAATCTCGTCAACAAAAGGGTATCTGCACCGGACACATCGTGTCAGTATACATCTTAACTACAAACACCATCTGACACACAAACTAAATAAAAAATGAAAGATATAGTCCAAAAATCTAAAGACCTCTAACAATTCTGGTCAAAATATGTCATATCAACGAAATAAACAAAATTCAGTGAACACCATCTGATGGGCGCATATCTACAAAGTGATGGTGGGTGCATGCCATGGCCCTCACCCACTTCACCTGGAATACTACTCAAAAAACAACAGTGAACACTGAATATTATGGATTGCTGGACATACCCTTGTCCCCTACCACTCCAAACCAGGTGGAGGCTAAATTGTTTTAGGAGGACATTCCATTAATTCTCCCAACACTATTCATAATCAGGTGATGATGGTTATGTACTAATAAAAGATAGAATTGGTATCAGGTGGGAAGCATCACAACTGACCTTTTCGCTTCTGGTCCCCCACATACACCCCTAGTGTTCCCTTAAATATTTTCCTAGTTAGTAACCTCACATTAATAATAGAGAGGTGGGGGGGTAACTAAATAAAAAAATATATATATAAGATAAAAGGGAGAGTGGTATCTAAATAGGGAGTGTAGTATTCCACTGGTATTCCACTGTAAAATTAAGGGTTGTTGACCTAACACCAAAGACTCTAAAATAGCAGCTACAACAGAAAATAAACCATATATCAAATATCCCAGACGAAATGTTAAGATATCTAATTTCAGATCCATACCATCCAGTGATCATAATATTTATTATGATAGTGTATTAACTTAGAGTCCTATGTCACTGTGGGTTATTTCAGACCATTGGAAGAAATCACATTGCTAATTCCAAAATTGGAATAAATAAATTTTTAAAAAATGAGAATAATAACCCTCAATGACTTTATCAAAACTCAAAAAAAAAATCTCCCTCCCTAGAATATTCACAAAATCTGTCATTATTAGTTTCCACCACAAGAGGGACCCCCCACTATTCATACTCGGGATCAACACTATATACGATAGCTAAAGTCAAAAGTGGTGAAAACTTATAAATGCAGTGATTTCATGAGATAGTCATTTTCTGTTACACTCTATATTGTACTTAAAGGGACACTGAAGTCACCTTAACTACTATACTCAGTCCCTGTGGGATTGTTAATGTAATTGTTTTTACAATTACATTAGAAAAAATGCAGTGTTTACATTACAGCCTAAGAACACCTCCAAAGGCAGTCACTCAGATGACCACTAGGTCTGCATAGAGATGCACTGATTCAATGCATCTCTATGAGGAGTTGCTGATTGGCCAAGGTGGCATTTGGCTCCACCCCCGATTTGCTTCTTTGGCAATTCCAATGATGTCATCCAAGGTCGGGGTTGGCGGACCTGCATGGCCCTGGAATAAAGGTGAGTTTTAACATTTTTTATTGCGGTCAATGGGCCTAAACTGCACTTTTACCACTATAGAGTCAGGATAAAACATTTGTACGCTAGACACTATAGAGTTTATTTAATGTATAAAGGTTTATCTGGCAGCCTGTCAGGACCTGAAACACATCAGGACACATTGACACCCAGTGCACTTTTTGATTTATAATAATTTGATTCCAAAAACGCCAACCCCCCACCCCCCAGTGCCCTGGCACATGCCTTGTTAGCCTCTTTCATGGGGGGCCCAGGAGCTGGCCAACTGCCACCTCATGGTATATGTGACAGAGCTCGTGTACCTCCGCCCAGTCAGCTCCCTAGCCGCTGGCAGGGAACCCACAATGGATACAGGGAATCAATCAGATACCTTATTGAATTGTCCATCTTAAGCACTTGGTTATGGTGATGGTATACAGCTGATTATAATAGTGGATTCAGTCAGTATATGTGGGTAGACCCATAACATTTAATTCTGGGCCTCACCCTGGGCTTTTTACCACCTAACAACGCCCCTGATTCCCATCTACTAATTCCCTCCTCACCCTGACACTTATCCATCATGGCTCAGTCATTCCCACACATTTACAGGATTTTTCACTGCGCTGGAAATGTCAAATTAAGGCCTTAGTCTCAGATAAAGGACCTTTAGCATGAAATGTGTTAGACGGTGGTCCTGGTGTCCCTAGTTTGCTGGTACCTTTGGGTCTATAGTCTGTTAGTTTACTACAAAATATAAAAGTATGTACAGTTTAGTTTTCGATCAATGTTTGATGCTGTTCTTTTTGGCGTTCCCCATCTTGGGGTCCAATTGATGGAATATACTGTATGTCATTAGGTGGTGGAACCTCACGTCCCAACCCTCCCTACACCGTGCACTTCCGTATAATTTATTAAGAAATGTAATTATTAAATTACGCTTATGCTTATACATCCAACCTTTTTTTTTCATCCATCGTAAGCCACAATTTCTTCCTTCATTTATGGCAAGTAACTTTGTGTTTTTTTTACCAGACTGAGAAATGTGGAAAAATAGAAATTAATTTTTTTAATTAAAATCTTTAAGCAAAAAATGACAATCTGGAAAAAGTGTCCAGTATAAGAAATGTTTAAAGCTGCGTTACGTTGCTCCGAAATTTAATCACTTGCTGACAATTCCTACTTTAATGAATGAACCTCTATTGGGAAATCAAAATGTGTCTTAGTGTAGGATGGAAACAAGTCTAGAAATCTATATATTTTTTTCTTTCTATGTGGAATAAAGTTTTGGGCAACATGAAAGAAACGTCACTATGAACAAAAGAAAGCAATCTTTAAAAAAATAATTCCACAATACACTATTTTTCATTGTTTATTGAACAAAATATGTATTTTATTTTTTTTACATGGGGTGGCTACAATTTTGTCTTATTTACTATGTCTTTATATGTTGTAGTCGTTATCAGTTTTTAAATAAATACCTAATCATTTCAAATATTTATAAGTTAATTGTGGCCTTTAGTTCTGGAACACTGGGGACTGGGTAGGTTATAATAAATGGGGATATTTCCTTAACAAACTGACAAACAAATAGCACAATCTGCGACAAGGATTTCCAATTTGTTATTTTACGAATATATCTGTCTCACAACTTCCATGTCATTGTACCACAATTTATTGTTTAATAGGTGAGCACAAAAAAAAAACAAAAAACCTTTATATAGTATTCAGAACATCAACTCAACTCCAAATTAAATTAAATTATGCAAAATGTATGTTAAAATAGCCGACATAGAAAAAAAAGCTTCATCACAATTACAGCCACACTAAAATGCAGATTATTGAGAATTCAAAGTGAATCTAAAATTCTGGGCCAATATTACCAAACTGAAAGTATAAATGACTTTTGCAATTCAACCATTTTGGCAAAAAAATGTATTTCACTTTGCATTCTCAACTTTGGATTGACACTTTGGTGAATAACCCTGATATTTTTGCTTGATTGCTGCAATCATATCAGTGCTTTTTTTTTTAAATTTGGTAGTTATACCCATAAAGCAAACATGCTTATATTTGTATCTGCATGTTATAATTAGGGGTATATGAAAAGCAGCTTACCATGTTATTTGGGGGTATATAAAAAAAAATAAATAAATAAAAAAAAAGCTGCATACCTGTTGTCTGCAGTCTTTGGAATTCATCCCCTCTTTCCTAGACACAGACTTTCTCAGTACGTATTCCCTGGCACAGAGTGAAAGGGGGGAGGCAGTTTATCTCCCACTTCTATTGGCTCTGAGTAACAGCCAGGGAGGTGTTTCTGCCCCAGTTATAAGACTGACAATTTCTAATGAAATATAAACTGTCACAAATATGTAAAATGAAGTGCATTCGGTGTGTGAATTGCTCTTTTTTTAATAAATAAACCTCTCTATTTTTCTCTATGAAAAAAAAAATAACCTACTTTGCTTAAAATCCCAATAATGTTTTTTCATGTCAAACAGCTTTTAAAACAGTGAATAGAATTAAAAGGATTATTTATTTTTTTTTAGACACGGGACGAGCATCGTGATCCATTTGTCTTCAGTTGGTGATCAGCAGTGTCCGTTTTTCTTTATTAGGACTTTCTCAAATCTGTGGCTAAAAAAACCCCCAAAAACATTATATTTTAGTAAAAACATAAACATTAGTCATACTTCACTAATATATATTTGTGATATTTTAGAGGTAAGTAAACATCCTATTAAAATTAAAGTGACACTTTCCCTTTAATCATAAATGTGTTTGATATTAACCTGCATATTATGATTTCTAAAAATATTGGTGCTTCAATTTGGATTGGCAGAGACAAACAAAGAGTTTATTTACTATGGATGCCAAATCCACTACTCAGACCCAAATGTAAATAATACAGAACTGCCCCTTTGTTCGTTTATCTGGGATGTTTAAATTGCCAATAAGGATGTACACGGCCAAAAAATTCGGTTCGCTTTGGCATTCCGAAATTCTGCACTTTGGCAATTCGGGACTTCGGCAATTTGGTTCGGAATTTCAAAATTTGGCACTTCGGCCATTCTGAGGTATCCGAATGTCCGAAATTTGTCCGAATTACAATTTGGACCGAACCAAATTGCACATGTCTAATTGCCAACATCAAACCAGTGAAAATTCTCAACTTAATCATATTAATTAGTACAAGTTCACATGTGGAATGTATACCCACTACATAGTAAGACCCAAATCAGCCGAATCTGTGTGTTTTATTACAAGTATTGTAAAGCGGGTCTTTAATTTAGTTTTTGTTTTAGTTTTTGCATTGTATTGTTTCTATATTGTCTCTTTTCTTCTGTCACATTTGCAAATTGATATCAAAATGCAGAGGCCTTTTTTTCACCATATAATTTCTGAAGGACCTTTCAGGCTTGTACATTATTAATGAGCTTGTTTGATAATCTATATGTGGAAGTACTTGCATAGAGCGTGATATCCAAATAATTATAGGCAAAAATGATTACGTATCACGAATGTTTACAAACAGAACGAAATAATGGAATTTAATTCGGTTTTATTTTCTAGACGGGAGAAAATAAATAGAGAGTTTTGAATTTGGAAATTTTTCTATAATGAAAATAAAGAAATTTTTTATATCTATTATTTTTAGATAGATTAAGTAGCACATTCCCTTACTTATTTTCCCAGCACAACTCGCATTCATTTCCATATGTGTTTCCGTCCGTTCCGCATACTGGGACGTAATCTGGCTCGCACTGTGCGTCTAAATATCTGGAACACAGAGGCTGAACAAAGACAGAGCGGATTAATGATGTCATGTAGGTTTAAAGATAGAGATAGATAGACAGACAGACAGAGGACTGTCTGATCGATGACATCTTCCACTAGCTCAGGTAAGTAGGATCTATCATTAGAGTGAAACCAGTTGAGTCCCCTTGATCTACAAAAAATGTACCAACCCAAGGCTTTCTAAATCACAGGATAAGGTAAAATAACTTCACTTTCTGATGCTTAAAAAATACTAATATTTTTAAAAGAATTGTATATTGCCTCCACAATACATCTATCATCTAAACTCTACAACTGCTTCTCAGTGTTTCATAGTGAAATCATACGCATACAGGCTCCAGGCACCATAACCACTTCAAATCACTAACATGGTCATGGAGCATGGAGTAACCCCTTAACCCTTAAATGAAAGTGCGCTACTAAAAGATACATTAACATAATATGTATTTGGTAATTACTTACCTGCTTTGCAGTTCGTTTCTTTGGTGCAGCTAATACCATCCCTGTTCAATGAAAAATATGTGTATTTCTACGTTTTGTTTCAACTGATTCTGTACTGTTACAATAAAAATTCGGACACACACACACACACACACACACACACACATATATATTGAACTAAATTTAGAAATTCACTTTCCTCTCCTTAAGGAATAATTCTGAAAGTACAGCAAGCAATATTTTATAAATGTATCCATTCATAAAAAATAAATATTGTAGAAAGCTTGAGAATTTTGCAAAACACAAATCCTTGTTTCAAGTGCATCTAAATTAAGTAACACTGGCTTCTTTAATAAAAAAAAAAGGATATTTTTGCGGTATACGTCAAAGAGATGCTCTTTCAACTGTATCTACGTCTTAATTAAAACTGTTGATGTAAACAAGAATAAAAACAGCGATAACAAATTACATATAAGCATAAAGGGTAAAAAAGGAAATTTAATTGTGACACACTGATGCCAAATACAGAGTAAGGACCAGCACAGAAAAAATGCAGTTTTTCATTTTACAAGGCTACTGAAAATCACTTATCTTAGCAAACAAATGTGTGGATTTAGTTCCACATATGGTCATATCATTTTAAACCTACCACAACCTCACAGTACCCCATCCCCTCTTCTCTAGTGACCCTTCTGTCCTGCCTAACAAAACCAATTAAATACCTCCTTTGTCCTGAATGTGTTGCAGGCTTAACAAGTGGCGACACTCGCAAATTTGGGGGTGTTTGTCATCTGCCCTGATACTCCCCTTGGATCCGCCACTGAACGAAGAATCCCCTAGGTCTTTTAGTCCACAATTTGCAAATCCCATGTAAATTCTCCCCAATTTGTAGTTAAGTGATTTAACCCTTTGTATTGTCTGCCAAGTTATACGAACTCTCCAAGGAAAGGTTTCGCTGTCCTGTTTAACGTACCTGTAACCAGGGTGAAGATCAGGACTGTGAGCAGACTGGACCTCATGGCTCTTTGTGCTCTCTGTGACGGTATGAAACATGTGTCGACTGTCAGCTTTTTATAGCATTTCTTTTTTAGTAGCTCTCTTCCTTATTTGTAACAGAATTGCTCTAATCAGTTATATGATTGTTTTACAACATTGAGTATCAAAGGTAATAAATAGTACAGGGAGTGCAGAATTATTAGGCAAGTTGTATTTTTGAGGATTAATTTTATTATTGAACAACAACCATGTTCTCAATGAACCCAAAAAACTCATTAATATCAAAGCTGAATATTTTTGGAAGTAGTTTTTAGTTTGTTTTTAGTTTTAGCTATGTTAGGGGATATCTGTGTGTGCAGGTGACTATTACTGTGCATAATTATTAGGCAACTTAACAAAAAACAAATATATACCCATTTCAATTATTTATTATTACCAGTGGAACCAATATAACATCTCAACATTCACAAATATACATTTCTGACATTCAAAAACAAAACAAAAACAAATCAGTGACCAATATAGCCACCTTTCTTTGCAAGGACACTCAAAAGCCTGCCATCCATGGATTCTGTCAGTGTTTTGATCTGTTCACCATCAACATTGCGTGCAGCAGCAACCACAGCCTCCCAGACACTGTTCAGAGAGGTGTACTGTTTTCCCTCCTTGTAAATCTCACATTTGATGATGGACCACAGGTTCTCAATGGGGTTCAGATCAGGTGAACAAGGAGGCCATGTCATTAGATTTTCTTCTTTTATACCCTTTCTTGCCAGCCACGCTGTGGAGTACTTGGACGCGTGTGATGGAGCATTGTCCTGCATGAAAATCATGTTTTTCTTGAAGGATGCAGACTTCTTCCTGTACCACTGCTTGAAGAAGGTGTCTTCCAGGAACTGGCAGTAGGACTGGGAGTTGAGCTTGACTCCATCCTCAACCCGAAAAGGCCCCACAAGCTCATCTTTGATGATACCAGACCAAACCAGTACTCCACCTCCACCTTGCTGGCGTCTGAGTCGGACTGGAGCTCTCTGCCCTTTACCAATCCAGCCACGGGCCCATCCATCTGGCCCATCAAGACTCACTCTCATTTCATCAGTCCATAAAACCTTAGAAAAATCAGTCTTGAGATATTTCTTGGCCCAGTCTTGACGTTTCAGCTTGTGTGTCTTGTTCAGTGGTGGTCGTCTTTCAGCCTTTCTTACCTTGGCCATGTCTCTGAGTATTGCACACCTTGTGCTTTTGGGCACTCCAGTGATGTTGCAGCTCTGAAATATGGCCAAACTGGTGACAAGTGGCATCGTGGCAGCTGCACGCTTGACTTTTCTCAGTTCATGGGCAGTTATTTTGCGCCTTGGTTTTTCCACACGCTTCTTGCGACCCTGTTGACTATTTTGAATGAAACGCTTGATTGTTCGATGATCACGCTTCAGAAGCTTTGCAATTTTAAGAGTGCTGCATCCCTCTGCAAGATATCTCACTATTTTTGACTTTTCTGAGCCTGTCAAGTCCTTCTTTTGACCCATTTTGCCAAAGGAAAGGAAGTTGCCTAATAATTATGCACACCTGATATAGGGTGTTGATGTCATTAGACCACACCCCTTCTCATTACAGAGATGCACATGACCTAATATGCTTAATTGGTAGTAGGCTTTCGAGCCTATACAGCTTGGTGTAAGACAACATGCATAAAGAGGATGATGTGGTCAAAATACTCATTTGCCTAATAATTCTGCACTCCCTGTATATGACCTTATCTGAGAAAACTGGATACAAAAGTTTAATTTTCAGTTCCCGATAGAATTTCCTGGATATTTAACATTGACCCCAGACAACTATGGAAGCAATCATGGAACTACAGACGTATCTACAATGTGGATTATACAACAAACACACAGCAATTTAGAGCTTACCTGGTTCTGAGTGATATGAGTTGGCAACACCACCAAATATCTTAAATGTGGGTTTACCACCACCACAATATACTCAGAGCCAAGTAGGCTCAGGATTGTGTGAGCAATTTTATAATATACACAAATCCCTTTCAACTGCGCTAAACAAATTAAAAACACTTGTCAATCTATAGACGAACAAATAGTTTTTGTTTGGGTTTACCTAACTAATTGATTCATTCGTCCATGGATTGACAGGCATTTGATTTATTCACGTCAGCTGAAAGGGGTTTGTGAACAAGTTTACTATTTTCTCATCTAGTGTAAGGCTACTGTGATCAAATCTCTCTCTACATGTCAGAAAATGGGATGACTTAATCCCGTCACCGTAAATATATGTCATCTATAAAGTGTGAATGTGATACATATATCCAGTGACTGAAGAATCTGTACATAATTTAAGACATTTCCTATATATTTCATATAGATCTTGAGACTATCCTACAAGCATTCCAATATTTGATATATTTTGCTAATTGTACATCCTATTATGTGTTCGTTCTTTCAGTGTATCTGCATCCCTCGGTTATACCAAATATTACCAGTTTTCTACAGACACAACACACATCACACCTTACTACTACAGAGAAAGTAGTGGATGCATGGAATAACCATCCAGCTGAAGTGGTAGAGGTTAACCCAGTAATGGAGTTTAAGCATGCGTGGGATAGGCATAAGGCTTTCTTAGTATGAGATAAGGCCAGGGACTAATGAAAGTATTTAGAAAATTGGGCAGACTAGATGGGCCAAATGGTTCTTATCTGCCGTCACATTCTATGTTTCTATGGTTTTTTTTTGCTGTAGTTACTATCTAAGGGTAAGTCTGCAACTCTCTGCCCATCTGGTTGGCTGAATGGAGAACTTTTCAAGTCCTGATTCAAGTTTTTCATTTGAAAGCACTCCTTTCTAGCATTGTGTGTTTAGGGTCATTACCTACTGCAGGTGAGTTTCGTCCCCATTCGAAGGTGCCTGCAGTCGGAAACATGTGTTCCTCTAGAACTGTTAAATGAGTACCAGCCATCAAAACAGGGTAAGCTTCGTAAGAGGTAAATCCCAAACTAAGACTCAATGCCATGTAATTTATATACAATATACAAGAAATACGAATTGTTTGACTGCTGGAGACTAGCCCACCCAGGAGCGGCGGGGGTCATCTCGGTCCACACAAAGCAGCCTCAAACACTCTGCTAATAGCGGGCAGCAGATACCGCACAAATCTGAACAAGGACACTGACGCCCAAAATGGCAGATGTACCTTACCTACGAGGCAGGAGGCAGCAGGCAGCCGAACAAGAAGGGTGCGCAATAATAGACCGCATGATATGACATCTCGACAAGATATTTGCCCATTTCTGGCGGCAACTAAAGGTATGAGCACAAGCAGCAGCAAACAGAAGAGAACAAGCAAGGAGGTGTGCAGGGCCCCATCGGGCACAACCACCCACTAAACACCCCATCTGAAAGTACCTAGCCCACCCAGGCAGAGAGCAGGCAAGGCCTCACACCACAGACGCCCCATACAGAGGCAGAAACACAGACCTCCCAGAAGACAGACGTCCACCCAGAACCGCAGACGACCCTCAGGGAAGAAGGACTTAAACCCACTCCTGAGACCACAGACGCGGGGAACAGCGATGCTAACCTTCAGGGAGGCCACGGATGAGAGACAAGCCAGGCGCAACCCACACCTTGAACTTCCACGGAAAAGCATCCAGGTGAAGCTGAGAGCCTCCAGGGATGGTATGGCTCTGCCGAGCCATTGGCTGACAGTGCCACATGTCCCTGAGCAAGGTACCCATGTCCTCCTAAGGACTTGCTGCCATATTCCAGCCTGCCGGTACCAAGACAGACAATACTGTCACATAGTTAATTTTATCTTTGGTCGATTCTCGGCTGCCTGCATTTTTTTACTTGTATTCATTTATGACCATATGGGTGTGTTTATGTATATATATTATGGTGTGTTTTTATGTACTGGTGTTATGCATCAAAAAATATACAAAAGGCTATATTAATGTTGATTATTGGTGAATACTATTGACTGACTGTTTTTGCCTTTGGTTCTGTTTATGAACCTTTTGTATAAAAATCTTTTATATCTCAATAAAAAGGAATTATAAGGGGGCGGGGCCGGGCGGCCATGCTAGCAGGCTGCAACTCACTGTGGCTCCTGAGGAATCCATCTAATAATGTTGACAAAACCCACCTTACTCAACTTGGAATGCCCTGGAAGTTCGTGGTATATGCTCCTGGAGTGTTCCAGTGCAGCTAGAGCACCTGACATCGGGTGGCTCTGGGTCCTGGTGAGATGCTCCGGGGCTGGGGGACTGAGGCTTACACGGGAGGGGAGTGGAGCGGACGTCCGCTGCATCGCTCTCCGTCCCGGCTAATGAGAACCGCAACGCAAATGGCGCCCTCCCGGCTCAGTTTACCCCCCCTTTGGACCGGCGGGGGTTATCCCGGTCCCCACCAGGCAAGCAAACATCTTGGCGGCAAGCCTGGGCGACCCAGAGCCGACAGTTTAAGGCTACCATGCGGCCCTCACAAAATGGCCGACAGCGACACGACTAACTCGCTTCCTACCACCAAACAGAGAGAGCCCGGAGAGGTCCTTACCACACACCAACTCCAGCATATCGCTACCTGCATCTGGACACTATGGGCTGCAAAGCACCGCACCCGTACTCACCTAAAGACTGGGTACTGTGGGCACGGCGATCTGAGGACACTTTGATCGAAAATGAGGCTGCGGAATACAGTGGGACCCTTGGGTACTCCGCGAGGGTCACCCCCAAGCCTGGGAACAGGATGCCTCTCAACAACTATCCCGATGCCAAAACCAACAACGATCCCAGCTCTTCATGACGAAAGGCATCTAAGGAGTACACTGCGGAACTCACCGACAGCCTTAAAAGATAACTCCCTGGTGATACTTGCCGATACATGGACATCTCTGTAATTATAATCACAGCTCATGTTACAGTAACTGTTGGTTTGGGCATCCTGTGTAACCAGATGATAACCCATTATGCCAAAATCAGCCTGGTGGCATTTCATTTAAACACCTATCTTAACTAAGCTAGCACTTCATAAAAGCGTCTGTGCATACTCTTGCTTTGAATA